GACGACGACGCAGATTGCATCAAAGGAGTTGGAAGGAGGAAGCTGGGTGATGAAATCCATGGAGATGGATTTCCAGGGGTGCTCGGCAATGGGGAGAGGCTTGAGGAGGCCATAGGGCTTGTGGGAGGAAGTTTTGCTGCGGATACAGGTCTCGCACGATTCGACATAGTGCTGGATCGTATCGTGCATCTTGGGCCAGTAGTAGTCACGCTGGACTAACTCGATGGTCTTGCGGATGCCAAAGTGACCGGCAGCATAGCTGTCGTGGCGGGACTCGAGGACAAGAGAACGGAGATCGGCCGAATCAGGAATGTACAAGGCCGTCTTGAAGTAAAGGAGATCGTCCTTTCTGGTGAACTTGGGGAAGCGGGAAGGGTCTTCAGCGATCTCGAGTGCGAGAATGTCGGTCGCTAAAGCCTGGCGGACGCGGAACAGGAAGTCGTCGGACATGACGGCAATGAGGAGTTTCTCGGGAAACATGCTGGTCGGAGTCTTGACCTTGGGGTCACCCACCCCCGTCGAAGAGGAACGAGAGAGAGCGTCAGGGAGAGTATGGAGGGTACCAGCGCGGTGGTAGACGAGGAAGAAGAAGTCGGCGAGCACTTGGGCCCAACGGGTCTGGCGCGGGTTGAGGAGACGGGCGGTAGACCAGAACTCGATGTTTTTGTGATCGGTAATCACCTTGACAGGAACCTTGGCGCCGAGGAGGTAGTGCCGGAAGACCTTGAAGGACTCGACAATGGGACAGAGCTCTTTGTCGTAAATGTTCCACGCGAGTTCAGAGCCAGTGAATTTGCGGGAATGGAAGGCAACGGGATGCGCAACGCCATTGTCATCGAGCTGGGACAGAATGGCACCGAGAGCAAAGTCGCTGGCATCGGTCTCGAGGATGAAAGGCTTGGAGGGGTCAGGATAGGCAAGGACGGGCGCGGAGGTGAAAGAATGCTTGAGGAAGGCAAAAGCAGAGTCGCATTCGGGTGTCCAGTTGAAAGGGACATCCTTGCCGAGGAGCTTGGTGATGGGAGTAATCACACCGGAAAAGTTCTTGATGAAACGGCGGTAGTAGTTGGCAAAGCCGAGGAATTTCTGGACGGCGTGGACAGTTTCGGGCACCGGCCAGTTGAGGACTGCAGAAAGCTTGGCAGGATCCATCTTGACGCCATCCTTGGAAACGATGTAGCCAAGGAAGAGCACCGAGTCGGAGTGGAAGACAGATTTTTCCAGCTTGACGTAGAGCTGGGTGTCGCGCAGAATTGTAAAAACACGGCGGACGAGAGACTTGTTCTCGTTGAGTGTCGGAGTGGATGAGGATGTCTTAAGGAAAAAAAAACCCCGACAATACCTTGGAGAAGAGAAGCGATGAATCTCTGGAAGCAGGGTCAGAGTGATTTGGC